ATAATTATCTAACAGTACGCTTAGCTTATTGACAGTTGGTGCAGTTGTCTCGATTACTAACGCCACTTCTCCCGATGGCCAAGTTAATTTCGAATTTGTTATATCCACGACCATTCGACGTCAAAAAGTCAGCACCTAAAATACAGGTGCTTCCCATTCCTACGACCATAAACTGGTGGGATATAGTCAATGTGCCGATACTGACTTCCGATTCTTTCATTCCCAGGACTTGTAGTTCCTCTCCACCGATCCCTCTTGCCTTCAAAGAACATGGCTTTAAAGGCCCACTTATGAGTTCTCGACTTATTAACGATACCGTTGCACCTGTATCCACCAAACATTTTTGCTCATGGGCACCTATTCGTGTCTTGATGAAAACCGCAGTAGGCTGGATACAGTTTATGGGCAAGGCCGTATTTTCTTGGACGGACCGCCGGCCTAGTAATGGGTCGGTCCTTGGTCGTTTCCCTGACGCGGTTGACCAGCGACAGGGGACTGGTATCTAAATCGGCATTCTCGCGCAAAATGTCCGATTTGCCCGCATACGAAGCAGTAATTTTCGGCGCTGCGTTGTCGATAATTTGGTTGTCGACTTCCGGTACCGGTGCTTCTACACTCGTTGGCGACGTGACCCATCTTGCCACATTTATAGCAAGGCCCCCGTCTTCCCCGAGTAGAATTTCGCGCTGACTTGGCGTTGACATTGGCGACAGATACAGATAATTCACTAACCTTTCTGGTAAGTGTTTCCATATTTTCCATCAACTGCGCAACCAAGGGCTGATCCCTCGTTGTTGTCTGCAAATTGTCACTCGCACTTGCTTGGTTGACTTGACTCCCGGTTAGGTGTGATGAAATTTGACTCGCTAAATCTAGTTGCTGGGCAACCGTTTCTTCATAGGACATGCTTGGTCGTTGTAATAGTTCCCTTTTTAGTTCTGTGGGTACTCCTTCGATAAAGTGTTGCTGGAGTAGGACATCTCTGTCTCCGTTTTCGATTTTTGGCATTGCGCGCCTTAACAGTGCCTCTAAATGATAGGCGAACACTTGTATGTCTTCGTCTGGCTTTCTCGTTCGACTGCGAAACGCCATCATTGCAAGATATGTTTGCCCGTTGTACCTCCGCCAAACGCCATCGTTAAAGCTTTCGTAAGGGTTTTATAATCTTCTTTGGCCTCTGCTGCGAGACGCTCAAAAACTGCGAAGGCCTTACCAGACAAAAGTGTCGGTAACCTTTTTAACATGTCGGTATCTTTCCAGTCGTTTGCGGTCGAACAAAGCTCGAATTTTCGCAGCCATAAAACAATATCCCCATCTGAAAATGTCTTGGGAAGCGCTACGCTCGTACGACTCGACGTTGCCAACCTGGTCACGGCGCCAAATGTAATATACACAACAAGACAACAACACTATTTTAAAAACTCTCTTTTATTGTTTAATTCGTTCCCATACAATCAGTCTCTCCCTGTCATCAGCTATCTATATAAAACGCTCTTATTACTTAATCCCTATTAAGCCATATAATCACTAGCGTATGTTACAATCAGAACGAATTCAAATCTTTATCGAGTTTTACAGCCATCATTTCTTTGAATTTTCTTCATATGTAATTTTTCTCAATTATATTATTTGCACAAGTATTTATTGTACATCACAATTTTGTGAGTTTAGATACAGCTTTAATGCTAAACTAACATGCAACTGCAGTAATTATTAAATTAACGAATTAATTTAGTTAATTAAACAATTTAAATTGCAGGAATCAATAGCAAGAAAACCAGAACCAGAGCCTGGCTTGTGTGAAAATCAACCAAAAAGTATGTTTTAAAATTCTCTAGTGAATACTGTTTAATAGAAGACTATTAAAAAGCCACATTATAATTTATTCGTTAAACCTCAGGCTATAAAATATTTTAAATATCGACGTCATCTACATGTTTTCAGGGACGTACGACCGGCGACTGTGAAACCCCAACTGTGAAACTCAAGTTTAAAATTTTGACATTTTCAGGTAAAATTTGCGTAATAAAGACGTTACTGTTGTAAAATGCAGTCAATTAGGATCCAATTCGTTTGTGGATTTGCTTTAGAAAACCCCAGAAATGCAGTCCTGGGGCTTCAGAAACGTAAAACGTTTCCGAGGGAGACCCCCAGACTCCCTTGTCTTCGTAAACTTAGTATATGATACTGCAAATTAATCAGAAAAAGCCTGATTATAATCATTACAGTGACATTGAAGTTCAAATTTCAGGTAAAATGCGCCAACAGGTATAAGTACTATCGTACAGTGGATGGTAGATAACTGACCGACAGTTCTCAGAATTAGAAAATAATGTTAGCTCCTTTTCTCTGTGTATATATATATGGTACCGTTTCGGCCTTATGGGCCTCATCAGTGTAGTGCTGATGAGCAGGATGAAAGTAACTGCTATTTACAGTTACCTTTGATGCCTCACGATTGTGGGACATCAAAACCATGCCAGAGCGCTCAAACTGCAAGCAGTGAGCGTGCGCAATGCGTAAGCGGCATGGCTCATCCTGTAGAGCGCTCAATAGAGGCCATATAGAGCGTAATCTAACTACAGACGGTACCGTTTCGGCCTTATGGGCCTCATCAGTGTAGTGCTGATGAGCAGGATGAAAGTAACTGCTATTTACAGTTACCTTTGATGCCTCACGATTGTGGGACATCAAAACCATGCCAGAGCGCTCAAACTGCAAGCAGTGAGCGTGCGCAATGCGTAAGCAGCATGGCTCATCCTGTATATATATATATATATATATATATATATATATATATATATATATATATATATATATATATATATATATATATATATATATTATAGTATTAGTTCTCTTGTCATGGCGGTTAATATTATTTCTGTTAATTAAAACGTCTAAAGGAGACTACTCTCTCTGCCCCTCTTAACGCATTTAAGTATTATGTTCATGCAGTCAATACTATAGCTACGTTATAGCTATATGGTTACCAAGTCTTCTAACGGTGCGCAGCCTTATAGCTTAAACGAACGTATCAGAGACCCTGACTATACTAAATGAACTATTTGGATGCCAGTTCAACTCTAACCGAACACAATCATGCTAAACGGTTATTATCCGTAAAAGCTAATAAAATTTTCCCCCATGACCACAATTTTTTTTATATACACCGAATTTAGTAAAGGACTATTTCAGTAGTACTATAGACCTCGATCTCCTTGGTAACATTCATCTTTTGCTGAAAATTAAATTATTTTAGAAAATGCAGGGTGGTAACTGAAATCTTGTGAATACGTACTCCAAAACTCACGTGCACATTAATAAAACACCAGGAACTCGAGGATCTGTGAAGGAAATTAATTTAACCAGGCTATATAATATGGTTGAATTAACTTACAGATTATGTTAGGTGCATGGATTAACCAGAAATTCTATAGCAGTTAATGGAATCTAGTTAACTCAACCGGGAATGGTTATACATTATCCAGGACTGTGATTAAAATTAACCAGGACTGTGGTTAAATTAACCAGGAAATTTAACAAGGAACATTAATTAAGTTACCCCATGCAAACAGTATTAATTTTATATTAACCAGGTAATTTGTAACTAGGATAATTTACAGTGTAGTAATCGTGAGACGTTCTCTGGTCGTAGATTGTTGTTGGAAGGACGCTGGTATAATTACAACTGGCAGCTAGGAGCAAAGCCGCGGATCATCTTCCCATTTCTATTAGACGAGAGCTGTTGTGTACATCGGGAAATTGGTGATTGCATGATTATAATAATAAAGCGCTTATGTGCTGCACAACAACAACTGCACACACATAGCTATAAAGGTTCTGTTTGGTCTAGTATTTGATTCGGCAGCACAAAAACCGAGTCGCTGAGAGGATAAATAAAAAGAACTCATGAAATAGAAGCGATAAGAACCCTGTCTTATATACTGTTGCCGACTACAGACTGGCAGCAAGATCTTGTGATAAATCAGTAAATTTATGACATATAACGTCTTACAATTACTAAAAATAAATACATATCAATTTCCATGCATTTAGCAGGCAAAAATAATTATGCACTCCAAAGACACTGCCACATACATAAGTCAAACAGAGTTTGTAATGCCGTTTGATTTTTCCAGGCTAAAAGGCCCCCTAAAAGTTTGTAAATATTAAACAAAGCGAAAACAATTTCTTCCAATACTTTCATGCATTGATAGGCGTACGGGGTGGTCGAAATTTTCCCGACGTTCGAAAAATTATATACATCAAACATTTCAACTCCCTCGATTTTATTCAGAGGCATCCAATTTCATCTTGACCTTTTTCCGATCTGCCGAAAATTTAAGCCTCCCGACGTTCAAGAAGATTGGCTTATCATGGTTACGGCTGATAAAATCAGTTAAAATAAAAACTGGGGCTATAAACGCGGTGAATATATATATATATATATATATATATATATATATATATATATATATATATATATATATATATATATATATATATATATA